TTTCTAATGATTATAGTTGGACACTTTGTGTGCAAAAGAGAGTAGAAGGTGGTTACAAAGCTCTATATTCATTGCTGAATCGGTGTAGAAGGGCTCATCTTGTGTCTTGGAGTCTTCGGAAATTTTTATTGAGAAGCTTAGTGTTGCCGGTAGTATTGTATGGAAGCCAAGTGTGGGGTCCTTGTTGTAAGAAGACAGGTTGGGAGCGTGTGGAGAGGGTGCAGAAGATATTTCTACAAGAAGAATTGGGTGTGAGAAACCAAACCTCATATGTTGTTCTTCTTGCAGAAACAGGTTGTTTATCTCTAAAGGCTGAAGCTCTATACTTGACCATCACTTACATCACAAGGGTGAGATCTCTTGATGCTTCTCGCCTTCCTCCTTAGGCTTTGAGTGCCACACGTGCCAAAGGATGGTTAGCGGATGTGATAACTTGGTCTTTGAGGTGGAATGTGACGGAACGCGATTGGGATCTACAACCTATAGCACTACGTGAACGTCTAAAGGAGGAGATTCCGAACATTATTTGGAGCAAGCGCGGCATCAAGATGCAGTTTTATCAACTTCATGTGAATCCTATGCTTGTTTATTGTGAACAGGATTACCTACTTGCAGGAATCTCTACGTACTTACGTCATATTATTGCTAGGCATAGAACTGGATCTCATAGGCTTGGAATTGAGGAAGGACGTTGGCTTAATATTGATAGGAGTGAACGTATTTGTAGGCTATGTGATGAAGAGAAGTTGAGGATGAAAAGCATGTATTCCTTACTTGTACTAGATATGCAGAGATTAGAATGACTCATAATATAGATGTAGAGAATTTTTATTCTTTGTTACAGTTAGTTCCTTTTGATTTAGGTTGTTATATTAGAAACATTATTAGTTATAGTTCTATTGCTTTTGGCACTAGTTAGGGATTGGACTTTGGGTTCTTTTTTCTTGTTTGTGGTTGTCGCTTGTATTGTGTTTTTCAGCCTTTTGACCCTTTGGGTCCCCCGGGCTTGATCTAATACCATTTACCAATTACCATAGATCGGCGCCTAGTGTTATTTGCTTTGAATTGGCCTCAGCACCAAAGTATAATTTGAATGAATTGAGAAGAAGTATTGAGTTAAGAAGTAGAACATTTAGGTGATGATGAGCAAAACATATCCAAATTTCCACGTGTTGAAAGGTTGTAATGTATTTCTGTACTCATGGCTTTACATTGAAGATGAAGGAACTATTAGTGCAAGGTGATGGAGCATCAGCTTGATGAGCCCAAAGTTTGCTCACTTTGCCTCAAAGTTCTCACAACATGTTGAGTAGAAACATCTCCCAATTGATCGACCAGCTCCGGATTACACTCTAGTTCTTGGATTTGAGCCACAACAATTTGTCGGAGATGTGTCCAAGGTTCAAAACGATAACAATGTCACATTCAAGTAGAAGCATCAACTGCAACAGTTTGTTCACACAATTAGTGTCTAACTCACAGGAAGTGGAACACTTGCTCTGGGGGAAGAATTGATTAAGCCTTCTTGATTGCAGAAGTTTTGAATTTTCTCACTTCGATCGTTGAGGAGGTTAGCCGGCATCAAGGTGAAGTCCATTGAGTCAACCGGCCCGCCTCCGCAGCAACATGATTGAGGATGGCATGCGTAGGTCAAGTGATTCAGACTCTTGCTACCTGCTGGCTAGCTGTGATCGTGTAGATCGCGGTTTTTATTAATTACACCGACATTAGAGCAAAAGTCTCACAATATTGTGAACTCGTATCCTATGTACAATATCCGAACCCGACCAAATCGGAATCCTATAAATAACTAAAGATGGTTACAATATGTTTTGATATTTGAATGTGATAAAATTTGAGCTTCATGACATCTTGAAGAATATATCATATTATTGTTATGAAACATGAACTATCAATTATTTTAAATGATATTAAGTTACAATTGACATCATTGAGATAGATGAATTCATATAAAAAATTCCAAAACAACAATATTTATAGGAATTTTATACTAATTAGGTGTCAAAAACTTCTAAATTCTATATAGATATAAATAAAATTTTGTGATTATGCTTTTACATCTATGATGACAATCAAACCATATGTACATGAAATTAAAAATCCGTATTATGCACATTTGTGGATTCAATATGAAAGTGATCAATTGATTAGCATGACATTGACTTGTTGTGTTATTGAAACATGTTACCATTTGATCAAAAGAAATACATCTATTGAGTTTTGCATGGTGATAAACATGATTATATCCTAGTTTGATTATCTCCAAGCCAATGTTGATGATATTTTATTGCATAGAGTTGTAATGGTGGAGCTTAACGTACATTTACACTTGATAATTGACAATAGATTCGAGTACTTGACATGTATCATGGAAAGTATGCATACTTTCCATGATTACTTGGGTAGACAGATTACTTGGGTCATTATGTATCAAGTAAATTTGAAACTTCAACCTTCTAAGATTTAGATAATCTTGTTCATTCAGCTAGCAATACATGTCCAGATTGAACATCATTTTCCTACCTCTAGACAAAAACACGGTGTAAATTCTAGAAGTATAGACCTTTGTTGAGTTAAACTCAAAGTTAGTCATTTGAAATACATATTATTTGAGTACATTAGCTTTGGTACTAGTGCTTATAGAACATGATGATAAAGGAAATAGTTTATAGTAACATGTTGGTCCAATTGCGCATTGTAGTTAAAGTATAATGCGTATGAAGTACAAACTATACTTAGTTGGACTATAGCGTACTTTAGATGTTATTTGCTCGGTAATTGTCAATAACAAGGGTTAAAAGGTTTCCATGAACCATTTTATTCTATCATGTCATTGAAGCATTTACTAATACATCAAAGAGAATTGTTTGCACAAAGGGTACTTAATTTTCTAGAATACATTGCATGGTTGTACACATATCTCAAATTATGTACCCTGTGTGGATGAATACTTTACTTTAGTTTACTTGGTTTGATAAAACTTGATGTGAGGATGGTCATACTCACATCAAGTTTTATCAAACCAAGTGCAACATTGATAGATTGTAAATGAATCTACAGGAAGAAGTATGGATACATGAATACAAATGAGAAAATCTTCAAGTCTAAGTTGATAGCCAAGGGATTCACACAACGCAAAGGTGTGGATCACAATGAGGTTTTTGGCAACGATAGCAAAAACCTCTACTTTATGTTTCCTATGTGCTCGTATGTATCTATATGATGTAGTGTTTGATTAGATGTATGTTGTCACAGCATTTATCTATGAACTACTCGATGAGGTGATATTCATGCGGCAACCGCAAGGTTTTAAAGGAAATGAAATTTAAGGAAGTCATGGTGTGCAAATTGCCTAAATTGTTATACGGTTTAAAGAAAAATCCCAAACAGGATAATAAATGCTTCACCAACTTCATGCACTTACAAAATTCTTGCTAACTGTATATGATCCTTGTGTTTACTTGAAGAATGTTCTTGATGTGGTATTTGGGTTTATCATTCTTGTTTTGTATGTTAATGACATGCTTTTGCAGCTCCCAAAAGATCCGATGTTTATATTTTGAAAATTGAGTTGAGCTTAATTTTGAGCATGAAGAATCTAGGTCCAATCAAAAAGATTCTTGGCATGGAAGTATTTAGGTATCGGAAGGCAGGAAAGCTTTGTTAATCTCAATAGAAGTATGCAAAGAAGTTGTTTGTCAAGTTCAACATGGCGGAAGCTAAATTTGTGAATATTCCATTGGCCGTTCATTTTTTACTTTCAGCAACGCAATGTCCTACAGATGCGGTTGAGAAAGTTTTGATGTCTTTTATACCTTGTGAGAATGGAGTGAGTAGTCTCATGTACTTGATGCTATGCACACGACCGGATGGATATATATATATATATATATATATATATAGCATTTGATGTCAATAAGGTGAATAGGTACATGTCAAATCTAATCAAGGTGCATTCGGAAGTAGTGAAATGGATACTTAAATATCTTAAGTGTTCTAAACAACATGGCTTTTTGTTTGATACCAAAGCAATGAATGCCAAGTCATTTTTGGAATATGTGAATGCTGATCATAGGGAAGATTTGGACAAGAGAAAATCAACGAGTATGGTATTGTTGGATATGTTTTCACAGGATTGGATATAACAAAGTTATCATTTATTATATCATTGACAATATAAAAAATATTACATTCAACCCAACCAATGTTGTGATTCAAACTTTTTATGTTCTTACTTTTAGAGAAGTCATATAGTCAAAGTTTCAATTTCAAAAAATTCTTGTTCTACCTTCTTATTTTAAATTCTTTTGTGGATATTTTAACAGAATTGTATGTATCTTTGATACCTAAAGTCAAAACATTGTTATGAGCACATTGAAATCTAATAGTTGTATTTGCTTCTACATACATGCATTTAATTAGCTATGATGTTGCTACATAAGCAATTTAGAAGTACAGTTCAAGCATAAGGTCATAATTATCCAAAATAAAGAACTTTGAAAAGCTAGTAATGACTTCGTAAATATGAACTGTATACTCATAATGCAGACAAATATATTTGATATAATTTTATATCGTGGAGAGTTCTAGTTCTTTCCATTTTCAACTCAAATTGTTGAGTTGAAAGTGCATTAAACTTTTTCATGAAAGTTCTTGACACCTGCTCAGACGTGACAAGTCCATATTTCAGTTTGACTACAAATGACATATATTTAGAAACATGTAAAATTGGAGTGATGTATGAAAGAACCTGTGCACCTATATATTTCTCCTGAAGGTCAGTAAAGAATATTGTGGTAGAGTCTATAAGAGCTTGTAAGGTTATTCATGCGCTAAAGGGCCTTTGTCTCATTCTCTTTGCACGACAATAACGTACACTAAGTGAGATTCGTCTCCCACCACGAACGAATATTAGAATGCGTTGTTCTGAAGCATGAAGGCGGAAGTAACAAACACGGACACGCTTGTACGAAGGAATTGGAGAAGAAGGTATGGCTTCGTGGGAAATTGTGGCGGAAGTTTCTCGAATGAAGTAAACCAGACTTTGAGAACATTCGTCTTCTGCGCCTGAAGACGGGATCCGGAGTCGACAGACTGGCAGAGACTTGCGGTTGCGTGGGGACGAAGCTACGTGCGACGCTGGAGAACAGGAATGGTGGGCGACGGCATTTGTGGCCCCTGCAAACTGACCGACCTTCGGGAAGCTTATAAGGATCGAATTCCTCGAAGGGCGCTTCATTTTCATCTCTTCCATTCTTTCTTTCTTTCTTCCTCTTCGACTCGACGGAGGTTATTGTATCGGAGCTCGTTGTCTGGACAGGTGTGCTGATCGATTGATTGCTGGTCTAGAAACTTTGTAGAATTAGGGAAGCAGAGCTTTGGACAAAGCATAGCAGGTCTGAAGATTTTGCTGAATTGACCGGAATCTTAAAGTTCAGTAGGAGTTGGTCGGTTGAGGCTCGAAGATTATCTAAGATGTCAGGAGGTACCGAAGCTTTTCCAACCTTAGGATCCCATTGTGCCGAAGAGTACTGTCACCAATTGGACTTTCTGCCTTTCACGTGCGATAGTTGCTCGAAGGTATGGCAGCTGTGGCCGATTTTCACCAACCTGTGTCGAGAATCTGTGACGACCGTATGCAATTGATGCAAAATGCGCAGTTTGATGTGGTTTATCGATGCCTAGACTTCGGTCCTTTGTTAGATTGTAAGATATCGTTGATCTTCATCTATTCTTTCGAGACCGGCTTTTAGTGCTCGGGAGATCGAGAAGCCAGAGCTCAATTTGGTCGTCTGATCATGGAGTAATGTTTGCTTTCCACTCATGGTGCAGGTATATTGTCTGGAGCATAGATCTTACAAAGCACACGAGTGTTCCAAAGTGAATTTGAAAGATAACGTCGTCATCGTCTGCCCGACGTGCACACGCACAGTGAAGAAGGTTGCTGGTGAGAGCGAGGCAGTGACATTGAAGAAGCATAATTTTGATGGTTCGTGCTCATCCGCAGGCCGCCCGGCTCCTAAAGCAAGATGTCCCGTGCCTCGCTGTCGTGAGGAGCTCTTAGTACTTAACACTTACAGCTGTAAGAGCTGCGGGAGCACTGTATGCTTAAAACATCGGTACCCTACCGATCACGCTTGCACAACAATGAAGAACGGAAAGTTTCTGGGTGCCCTTGCGAAGAGAAACACATCGGAGTGCGGAAGTAGTGCTAATTCTCCTGTGAACATTTCGAAAGGATTCAAAACTTTGAAGGACATGATTACCCGTCGTTTCGACAATTTGAGCCTTCAAGTCCATTAATATATCGTGACTTGGAAATCATTGAAAGATTCATATAGACATTTGTTAGCTTTTAGTTAATAATATACCTTCGGGTCGACTTGTGTACAAAAGAATTGAATTATGATGTATTATTTGAGAACAAGAAGATTGTGCAAGCGACAAAGTTTTACACGAGATTTACTCCCTAAAGATTTTTGACGATGTTAACTAACATAACTTTTCTAATAGAGCCCGAAAAAGAAGACCCGCAGTGATAACATCCATGGGAATCGCAGATCTTCCACGCACTACAAATAGTGAAAAAAAAGTCAACTTTGACGCTCACCACGGAGTAGTCAAATCGACGTTCTACTCATCTCTACAATTTGTAACTTGTAAATTCGAACTCTCCAACAAGAGTACACGCCAAATGCGCCTTTTTTCACAAACCAAACTCCTAGAGATAATTCGTAGTAGGACGTACATTGAGTATTTATGTACGCAAAGCTCCATTCAAGAATTGACTATGGCGTTTGCAAAATGCAAGTGAACAGTGATGATACATTGTGAAAGAACTTCCCAAAACTTGTCCTTGTGCGGTTAAAAACATACACGTTCTACCAAAGAAGTATATTGCTGAAACCCGCACAATCTCTTCCCGTGCTGCATATCTGGTCCAGATATAGTAACAATCTCGAAGTGCGAGTTGAGCCTTTGTAGAGTTTTTGTATTCTAACAATTATGGCCTCACATTGATGAAGATAATACATCGACAGCAGAATCGGTGCACACGACATGAGCTATCTAAGACTCCAGGGACCTCATTGCACCACCATGGTTATAACCCGTATCTCTACGCAAGTATATTACGTCCAAGCCTGATCTGACGCAAAAGAAAAGCAAGATTAGGATGTACATTGAATAATCAGGCAATACAGCCACTTTCGTCCTATTTTACAGTCCTAAAGTAAAACAGGGCGAAAGTAAAAGTATCAGTAACGGTGGAAAGAACCACGCTATAAGTGTAGGTCATACTGCTTGTATCTCGTTGAAGTTGTGATTTCAGGCCACACACAACGACGATATTAAATAATTTTGCGTAGAGGGTAGACTTGAGAAAAATGAGGACCGATTTGAGCCACATTTTGTCTTAAAATCGAAAAATAACGACGTTCCCATTCTGTATAAGTGCCTTCCTTTCCGGCTTCCTCGTTTCCAACAGAACCCGTAGACAGGCCCTGCATTTGTTGACACAAGTCACAACAGCATAAAACAGAGTTTAGTGACCAGTTGGGTAGAAAATCAAGGTTACTGTACTGGACGCCAGCGCGTTGGGTTCTTCACATAGACAGGTACTTGTGAATGAGCTTATTCCCTATCAGCACAAGTACACAGCCAAGGCTCCACGAAACCTGTAGAATTCCAGGTGGTATAAAGGAAGAGGCCCAAGAATTATTGAAGAAAAGAATCTTGCCAACTCGTTTCATTCATAGGCTCTCACATAGACCATTCATAGGATCTCTGGATGCTGACACTTAACTCTCTGCCAATTAACATGAGAGACCTGGTTACACAAATAACGCATTTCCTGCTTCTGCACTACGATCAAGTCAGTGCTAGTGTTAAGACGACTTGACGCTGAGCGTCGGTACCCTGCACACTCAAGTGATACTCAACACTAGGGAGACTGAACTTCCATCCTCCGTGCAGGGATACTCTTTGATCCATAAGTTATAGGTCATTGGCACCGGGTCTTTCTAGTAATAGATTCTAGTTCCATTCAATAATGCATGATAAATGGAGCGTTTTAAAACAGAGTGCCTAGGCATTAAGCCAAAAAGGTGATATTACAATTGGAGAGTCAAACACATAGGGAGGGCAAAGCATATGAGAAAATGATCAAGTTGGGATGTATTGGGAATTAGGCGAATGCAAACGGAACACGGCTACGTAAGAAACTGAAAGAACTGCAGAGTATGGCTGTAAATGGCTCTCCCCGCCCTAGAGCGACCACGGGTTGTTATTGATGGTTAGTTTTAGTCTAATGGAACCTGTTGTCTTTCCACGAAGGGACAAGCGGGAAAAACTATTACCACTTACTATTACGTAATCGAGTGTGAAGCTGTTATCTTTCACAAATTCCAAGGAAAAAAATAAGAGTAAGAGAACGTGAATTCCCCTACTTCTGAAAAAAAAGTTGTAGGCGAATTCATGTTGTCTTAGGTGCAAGAGGCAGGGAGGCAGATGGAGAGACGCTGTTGCAGACTTGGACAGATTTATTAATTTGGTAGAGGTGGATATAGATCGGGTTCCTAATCCTGTTGTGACCCGGTGACCACAATCTTGAAGATCTTGTCCACAAGTACTGAGGGAAACCGAGAAACAGAATGAGCAAGATCGATTCTAATTCAGTCTTTGACACGTCTGAGGTGCTGGCAGCATTACAAAATGTGAAGGATTCTAAACCAGAAGCCTTCATCGACATGGTCAACGATCTTATTACCAACGAAGGGTAAGCAATACTTCGGTCGTTATTCAGCCTTTTCAACAGTCTTGGAAACATACGTCATCCCCTCAGGTGGAGGTTAGACGCCTCTTCAAGAAGAAAAAAGAATATCGAAGTACTAAACAGGTATTATGCTCCTCGTTGTAGTCAGCAAATTTTCTGTTTCATAAGGATCATGGAACGACGGTCTAAAGAAGATTGAAGCACAAAGCATCATCTAGGAAAGATTGGCAGCTTTGCGTCGGTCCAAGATGCTAAAATGAAACAGTTTTTGCAAAATAATGCCTGAACCGAAGATAAATAGGAAACCTACCTAATGATTAACCTCTAAAATATATGATACCTTTCGATGGGGTGGGCACACGTACCACCTGGAAGGCTGCAATTATAGGAAACCGTGGAGTGCGGGTAGCAGTTAAATCACAACTCCATAAAACACCACAAGAAAACTGGCAAGCACACCATATACAAAAAGTTGCAAAGAACGATAAAAACAGCTAACTGAGATAACCAAGTTCCGAGAGCATTGGAATAAGATCACTTTAGCAGAACATACTCAATACCACACTAGAACATGGAGGAACAATGTGGACTGCAAGTACGGTCCACCGACCCAGGCTGGAAGCAGTACAGATGAAAACCTATCGTCAAATGATATGGGCACTAACATGGAATTCGAAGTGACCTTTATACTCAAGTGGAAAAGACCATCATATGTAACCTCACCAGCATCTCTGAATTGTCATGAATGCTGCATGGATTCGGAAAAAGAAAGTATCAGCTAGACATGCTGAGTCAGGTCCAGGAGACTACGAGGCAACAAATTTGTCCTTGTAAGTGAATTCATTAGAGATGGAAGCAAGATCCTTTGAACTTCGATTTACGGGCCTCTTTGGAACGTCCGGCCATGGGATGAAGCGAGCCATGTAGCAGGACCTCGAACCCGTGATCTTCGACCACTCTATCCAGGATGATCGCTGCCTGGGGATTTGGCTAAGGTTTCAAATGACAGTATCCCGCACAGATGAGAAAGATGGGGAACCATACCGCAACTTACACAGGGAGAAAGCAGAACGAAACTCCCTCTCGATATTGTAGAATGCAGCTCTTCGTCTAGTGTGTGGGAGAAATTGTTCTGTAACTTCGCTCTGCTGGTGGAGTCCAGGCTGTTTATCGCTTCACTAGCCATAAACAGCCATGATCTCAATGGTTACATTGATCTCAAAGTCCAGAGCAGCCGCATGATTGGGCAATATTTAATTAGATATTTAAAATTATGACGCATGAGCCAGGTTTCCTGTATGATATGTTAACTCCAAATTCCGATATACATATAGATCCACTACAATGAGACCCTCTTCGACCTCACGTAGTTCATGCTAAGCTCCTCCTACTTTTTCGTCTACTCAGATCTCGTCTTTCTATTACGCAATAACTTCAAGCTGGCACCGCTCAGCTAGGGCAGGATTACAACTGGTTATGCCACAGGTACATACTAACCGGGGAGTTGCCAAGATTTGGTCAAACTATTAACTCGAGTAACCATAGTCAACACAAGGATAAAAAAAATTCTCCTTATGCAACTTTCCCGACAAATTGGACTCATTACTTTTCTTTTATTTTAATACTATCTGCACCAACGAACGTTCTGAGATCCACAAAAGGGTGACTCAAAACCCGTGTAACAAAAGTGTCATCATTATGCAGTCTTCAGCTCAAATGTGGTATGACAATTTTCGAAGACCGTTAAAACTAGTCATCACAAATAAGTGCGGTCAAGTAGAGTAATCAAGTACCTGTCCATCTGTTGAGCTTCTTGTGCCTTGCAGATTTGAAGACGATCCTCCCCACACTTTGGAACCAAATGCAACAGCATGATGCATACATCGCCAGACTAATAAGAGCAAGTCTGCTATATCGGCACCGTCAATGACAGAAACAATCTCCGCACTTGACGCTAAGGCATTCGGAAGCCATCCAGCTGAAGCAACTAGCTGAATAAGACGGTGAGCTTGCATTCGACTGCGGGCCTCATTTTCGTCCACCTGAAAGAAAGTAAAAACGAGCTTAAAATATATCAATATAAGACGAAAAAAAGATTCCTTGTTAAAGGATTCTAATATATGGATTGTTTCTAATTGATCTGAACAAATCATCATCCCGAAAGCTACATTCGCCACGACTGACAAAGGAAAACAGGCCGATACCTTTCATCGTGAACGTCTTTCACGTTTTGCAAGTGCTTTCTAGTCACTCAGAGAACAAGTTCTGATGTATTATTTTTCTTTAGATGTGAACAGATATGATTATTGAAAAATGATTCCAAAGACTTCCCAGACAAGTCGTTTCAGTTTCACCTTCTCATAAAGTATGGTGAATAGAAGGATCAGCGATTTAACGTAAAACTTGGGTTTGAAAGTATGGTTTAGAGTCTCAAGTCCTTGACGAAAGTAATGACTAACCTTTGGTGGAGGAGAAGAGTGAGAGCGTCGAGTTCGAAACGAACTGTGCCAACGTGAGATACTATCTGCCAGAAGAACACGGACAAACTCCACGCACCTAAGCACTTCTCTACTTTCTCCATGTTTAACAACCAGCTCCAGCATCTGACAGTTTGATATTAAGATTTCAGTAAAACAAAGTAGTTTCTAAAAAGCCTGAACATGCTTAATCGTCGTACGACAGAGGTCATATATAATCCGTCATAATATATATAATCACGGCACGGAAGACCGTTTTCGGTACTTAAGTAGAAGCATTAAAGGGTGTTTCAATACCAAAGATACAGATACAGCACCAATCGAGGTAAATTGAAATTATGAATGCATTGAGCAAACCAAATCTCAGGGCTATGAGAATTAATGATGTTACTTACCTCCATCAAAAATGCATTCTGACTTAAACACTCAGCTAAAAAGATGTGCCTCAATGAAGAGATGTGCTTTGGTAGCACCTGATGATCACACATAAAAGTAGGAACTTAGCGACTGTTGATAAAAACAGAACTGGATCGAAAAAAATACTCCACTAAGAGTAAAGCGGCTCCATGATGATATGTGCTATAATAGGAACAGTTAAAATACCACTTCAGACAAAGTTCTCATCGGAACTACTTATTAGACATGATTACCTCCTCATATTGCTCCATCGACATGAGAACTTCATGAGGGGTTTCTAACCGATCATTCATAAGTGAACCCAGAACGGTTAAGGGATGGCAAGGCCAGGGGATAGAAGCTTCTCCACTCTCAGATATTGCTCTGTGTAGTGTTCGCCGCAAAAGACTCCCAAGCTCAAGGCCTACGATTTCGATCTTCTGAGAACCCTTCCTAATATTTTCTGCAGAGTCAACAGTAGGGTAGGAAACTCCACCATTCGACTGATTACTAAAGATATTCTTTCCAAATCTCTCTCTTTCATTGTTGTGCAATGAACAGAAACCACCTGGGCCAGAACAATGAAAACCCCAGATCAATAGATTTCTAGCAACTTGTAAATGGGACAATAATTCCAACGACCATAAACGTATCTCTCAAACACTAATTCTACAATAGGTACTAAATACCTAGAGGTCACAACCTTCTCGTGGCAATTTCAACAGTCATTAATAGCCTGCAAATGTGCCCTATGAGAACAAATATAAAACATAAACACTATTAACTGGTTCAAAGCCCCCTTAACGTTTTACAATTGTCATAATTCAAAATCCCGACTTCCCACACAGACTCTTTGTAACAAGACGAATAAATCGCAGTTTATACAAAAACTTTCATTACATGAAAAAACAACATAGCTGAACTGTCTTTGCTATATAAGACTGTAGTTACATGTTGATTTCAACAACATTGACGCTGTTAGGCTCATGGTGTGAACCTCATAGCCAGCTTCATATATGTTCTGCAAGGTGGGGTGAGATGTTGAGCTTCCAGCTGCCCTGATTCTGAACGTATTTTACATGCACCGTGTTGAAGTTAGATATTGCGCATGACCTGAATTGTTTCAACAGAGTGTGCGCAGAATAACAGTTTAGACAAAGTACCTGATTGAATTCTGCTGTTCTCTTCAGATAGCTGCATATTGCTGATTTCAAGTGCACCAATGGACCTTTCAACTTCAGATGCCCACTCAGAGACCAGAGTGAGCTTACCATACCGATCTAACCTTCCGGTTGAAAGGGGCGCCACGGAAAAGGCCGTGCGAGCTGCACTAGACATCCTCCGCAAGGGAGCTGTTGAGGACTCTGTCCTCAACGGGGTATCTACACCACGAAAGTATATATTTTATTCCACTTTAGTCGAAAAATAATCAGAAAACATATCATTCGAGGTTTGAATGAAGCTCCAACGAAAGTGCTCAATTACTTCCGAATTCAACAACTAAGTGTATACAGCAGACAAGTACGTGGCAGATATTAGGCTTCTTCAAGGTAGGAGTTGAGAGGTAAAGCGTCATTCGATCAAGATTTAACAGAAGCTAATTCTGTGACAATTCTACAGGACAGATCAAAATCCTGAACAAAAAAAAATGTCAACTCAAAAGATATGATCATATTTAACACTTCCTCCTTCAGATCCCTTCATGTATGAAATTCATGAAAGTAACGCACTTTTGGAAGAGCACGGTGATGGCATTGTCGGTATCTGAGGACAACGCTCGAAGGAGAAATCCAAAACCCTGTTCACCATCTATCAAGAGAATGTACAAGCAATAAAGCATGAGTTCCATGCAAGGTGAAAATAAGCGAAGGCATCAGAAGAAAACTTAGTAGTGAAAACACCTGCCTCTGAATACTGGCGAGCATGAAACAAATACTTTTCATGGACTAACTCTGTAGAAAACATTCACAAGCTGCCAGTATCATTCTACTATTGCCAATGTCGGACGTGTCTAAAGTAACTAGTTACCTATCAATTTTAATGAAGGCAATCAGAGAATGATTGATAGAAAAAACATCACTAGGCCCGAGCTAACAACTGCTTGATATTAAGAGAAAGCAAATCGAAGCACATAAATAGACAAATATCGGTGCCGTCGATAGTTACTGGCAGCTTCCTGCGCCATATTACAACCATACCGTCTGCACGAAATCGGGCTTCTGTCTCCAAGCATATTCCGGCAACCTTTTGTCGGATTACGTGATGCTAGAATAGACATTTCTACCTTTAGTCCACACGCTGCAAAGCGTTGAGACGGAAACACGTACCAGGGCAAAACTTGGATAACTACATGATGCAAGCTTGATGATGATTCGCTTCAGATGTTCCACTGCTCGGGCATACTGCCATCTAAAGGTCAGATCGGTACTTATATTTGACTTGTCTTTCTCGTGTTCATGTTGAAATTCAATCTGCTCGTTTAAGTGCATATCCCCAGTACCATCGAACGTCTCCAGCCATGAAAAGTACAGTCCCAGAACTGCCTAGAATGTATAGGAAGAAAGAAGAATCAGTGAAAGAACCACAAAAGTGACTTAGAAACTATATACAATCACCTAAAACCAAAAAATAAGATTCTAAATTAGCGCAACCATGCCAACCTTTGCATTACCAAAATAAAAGTGGGCTCCGTAGGTCAGAATGGCTCTCCACAAACTCCACCAAATTCAAGCCGGAAAACAAAATAATACCAACCTTGAGACGGTTAGCGACTGCCTGAGAGCGTAAACTGCTGAGAGGGGGTAATTGCTGTAGCAGTCCAAGCACGGCCAATCTTAAATCCCATGCCCCCTCTCGATGCATAAGAGGCAGGATGAGAAGCCACTTGGCATCCACTTCCGCCCGCAACAGTTTCCACACAACATTCCTTGACTGACCCTCATGACCAGCCTCCCCCTCTGCAGTTGCAATAGAGGAATTTAATAATGGCTTCTCGGATGCACTTTCCATCAGCAGGTGATGATCCTGCCAGAAACTGAGGTCCAGAAGGTGCCTCAAAGCCAATATTTTGGCAAGTGCCTGCAGCAGATCGCAACAACTAAATCATGTTTGGGCTTGATATGTCCAAAACCTGCATATTTTTCGATATCCTGAGAAGTTAAGTAGAAAAGCTCTGAAAATATTTAAGACACCACCATTGTGATTGAACCCCACAAAATACATATATGTCATATAGGGTAGCCTGAAGTAGATTAATCAACAAGAAAATGGAGCTGCCCAGCCAAGTCGGCTACGGCCATCAAAATACTTGTTTCAGGAGTAATGCTCAAGTACCTGTTCGTCACTGGCAAGATGAAGATGATCTATCATGCGTTGTATCCACCGTTCCAAAATGAGAGAACCACGGCCTTGACCAACAACAATTTTTAACGCCTTCTTCACCAACATCAGTCTTTTAGCAGATTCAGGCTTGAACGCTCCACCGGGACAAGGATTTATCCACATTGCACTCGCGAGTAAATCAGCAACTACATGTTCCGTGCAACAAAGAAAAAGCAGTTGGCACAGTTGGATTAATGGATCCCGGTTCATACAACCTCTTTGTGTGCCAAGTCCGTCACCTGTTTCTTGGGTAGTCAATGTACGAGATTGTTCACACTCCTCTACAGAAGTACAGCCGCCACTAGTATCGTTCTTATCACAAGAATCTGGTCGATCCGGGGTAGATGCGTCACAGCATGAACACCGTGATTCCGAGTATGATTCGAGTGCTTTCTTCCAAACCACATGTGCATGCTGTTGCAAATTTTCCAGAAAATTTACAACACCCGAACTTTTTCCTATTGGACATGTTTCAACAAATACTTCTAAAGAACTATCTCGGTCCGCACCTGCAACAAGAAACAAGCGTTTGCGAGGAAGATTTTAGCCACGCTCGTTACTTCCTCCTTCTTGACCTAAGTGTCAGCCAGTGTCCAACAGGCATGAGAGGGTGTATACTACTCATCCGTTACTTGCTTGGCAACTGGGCAAAGAAACTCATTGACGTTACAAAGACTTGTCCAAGAGCACTATATTGTCTCAACTCAACGATGGGGAAGATAATAGTGTACCGAGGACGTTCGGAAGAACGTGTTTCGAGAGAACTTTGTGCAAAGATCCCAAGAGGTGATACCCAACCTCAGATAACCAGTGACTAGCTTCATGATCGGCTGTACTGTCACAAAGAGCACTTAGTAGCAGTACGACATGAGAGGCTATTGGGGCAAGTTCAGGAAGACGCTTGATCATGGCAGCACACAACCAAGTGCTCCTGCTTCTTGGTTCTTCAGGGGCCGAAACCTAGAGTTCCACACAACAAGTAACAGCGTCCGCATTCAATAATCATTGCATATCAGGACAGTTACATACTTATAGGAGAGAAGATCAACAACAAAACTTGTCTCTAATAAACAACATTTATCACGGTCTGGCAAGCAATCCGGGACACGACTAGAACATAAGCACAGAGGCTCCATCAAGTGTCAGAAGTACTTAGACACGTAAAATAAAAAGGAGATCGATGATACAGTACAGTCCAATGCGTACAACTTGAGGGCGGGAACTGACTTCTATCTAAAAAAAATTCATGGACGGTGTCTGGAGGTTCGTAACATTTGAAGAAGATGAATCAAGTTTAAAAGTTAGGAAGCGCCAACTGGTGCAAACTTTGAAGCAGCCACAGACGTCGAGATGAGTGGACATGATACTCCGTAGATAATCCATAGATGAACTTATAATGAGACAAACTTTCATTGATGAATTATCGGATCGAAATCCGTCTCCTGTAAAAAAGGTAGACATTTCTTCCATTCCTATCCCGTCGATACAAACGAGCCCAGACCCACCCTGCCCTAGTAATGTCTAAAAACTTCCAAAGGACTCAAGCTTCGGTCTTGGCAATCGAGTTGTATTGATAAATATTAATATATAAATGTTGTTGTGAGAACGTAAGATCCGCTTGAGATTTGTGACAGATAAAAAGCAAAACTGTTTACCAAGGTACTTATACAAGAAAATGTGAAATCTTAACAAGAACCTACCCCGAGGATGTTCCAAACTGCCGGCAAGAAAGTACAATCGTTGTCCATTTTTGGATCAAACTTCCACGCCTTCAACCCATCAATTGATAGAGTAGGCAACCACACTCTAATGAAGGCACTGAACAATCTGGGGCATAGAACCATCAAGCCCAGCCAGATATTCGCATGATATCCTGCCCAAACTCCTTCTCTTTCAGCTTCAGTGGACTCGCGTGTATCACCCACTGAAGTCAGACAGAACGGAAATATGGAGAGCAGACTTCCAAATGTAAGCTCAGGATCCCTGTATCACAACAAGTTGTTAACAGAACTCTACTGAAACTGAAAGAAGACTTGAGAAGTTGAAGAGGTGTAGAAACCTTGAACATACTTAAAACATCTCTTGTAAGTCTGTAGTATAAGCCTGTCGAAGCCTAGAAACCACAGACCACAGGCCCTAGCAGGAGGCTGCTAGTGGTAACGAACGAACAAGAAGAAGTGAGAGGCGGTGAAAAGGGAGTAAGACTACAAAAGAGAATATCTTGAAGTGGGAGTATTTCCCATAAAAGAATCAGTTCGAAGCTTACAAGGGTCAACCTGAAACATACACAACTTGGTCTAGTTGCTGAGTTAGACCGCCCTAAAAGAAATCAATCCAAAAAGCACCAGCTCTGAATACAAGCTGAGAAGTTCCAGAAACCTTTTATGATTCTTGCACCTGATCAAGGGTGGGGTTTACAGTACCTTTCACTATAACAAAGCTACTGCGATTAACAAGACTGTAGACAGGTGTTTCGTCCTCAATGGAACGTAGTGTGCAAGCTCCGCGTGGTAGTATTAGAACAAAATGTGAAACCGAGTTTTTCTGTGAATTTTGCGAATCAGAAAAATGATGGACGCGTGTGATATGTGATGTCTTACAAGAGCAAGATTCTAAACTTCTCTCGTATTATTCAATATCGACATTCTTGGACAAGAACACCATGAGGTACATCGTCAAGGACCTAGCCTTCCGTAAAACTTAAAAACATGAGTCATTCTCCGGTGGTCATATGCTTCTACCTAAACAGAACCCTTACAACATTTTTATTGTGATGTCATGCAACGTAAATTATGTTGTGCAGAAAATGAAAACCCATGACCGGAATAACCAGAAGACATTCATGATAGAGAAGTTCCACAAAGCATTACGATAGAGTTATGAAAAGGTAAACCAAAAACCTTGTCGAGATTTTCTTGAAGACCACTTCAAAATACTGTCGACCTCACATTTCAGTGTCGATAAGTTACGGACATTTGCTATATAATGATTATACCAAGACAGTCATCGTCTTTGAGGCTAGATGAAAGTAAAGTGAATCGTACCTAAAGGTGGCGTACTCCAGGACACCTGCTCGTTGAACATAGGTCGCGATATTTGAACATCCATCAGACTCACACTTATTTAAGTCCGCAACAAGATCATCGAGCACCAATTTCGTAATGCTGCTCTGGGAAGCCGTCATGTAAGCAACCAACCAGTCTAATGAAGCATGGAAAGTGTCATTCGCAGCCCAAGGCAGGAGGTTTCTGACGAACCATCTGTGAAGCCACATCCAATCACGGGCATCCGAATTTTCCGCACGAGCGTAACCACTTCCTGGGATAGAATTCCAGGCACCGGAGGCTCCTGGGATTGTGAGAGCAAGGGCTTCACGAACATTATCCGTTGGAACCTGGTCCAGACTAACAAGCAAACAGTGGCTGACGAGATTAGAGAGGAATACACATTCTGGCACCTCAAGTCTGGAATTAATTCGTTGGGACATTTGCTTTCCAGCTTCTCCATCAACTGCAGATAACACTGCGTCTTTCAGAGCCTTGGATAGCTGGTATTCCCTAAACCTGGCCCTCTTCTCGCCATCATAACTCGACTCTTCCTCGCCAGACTTTCTTTTATAACCACTCGCCAAGTTTAACCTGTTCCTCCAATTACTAAAATCCCCTCTTGTCAGCTCGTCTGCGGAACCATCGTTCTTCCCTCCATGTCTTGGTAGCTCGTCGGACACCTCGCGTCCTGCACTGAAGCCCGAACTAGCTGCTTCAATCTTTTCCCCATCCAGTGAGGCGGATAGAAGCCCGCGAATCGCCCCGACAAGCCCGCAATCCTGCGTTTGAGTCCCGACCCTTTCTTCTCCCTTCTCCCCATAGAGATCCTTCGCAAGCACTCTGCTCCCCGGAGCTCCATCTGCTTTATCATCAGTAGCATCGTCACCGAATTCGGGAAAATGTCTTTGCTCCTCAATGCGTTCCAATTCCCCAATGGCCCACTGCAAAGCCTCGAATGTAATTATGCTACTGCTTAAGTTCAGTTCTAGGTCAAGAAGCCTCTTCTGACAGTTGTAGTGAATGCTCGAATGACTCCAGAAAAACCCCTCCTCGGGGGCTGGGAATTTGTTGTCGGCTCCCACCTCTCTCATTCCAACTCCTCCAGCTTGTCGTCCTCACACACCAATTGAATGAATCCAAATCCAAATCCCTGCACTTGGCCTCACCGCTTCGTGCCCACCGCAATGTCGAATGTCAACTGGTCCACCGGCTCGATCATTGCAGGGGATTCTTGACTCCTGTCGGACCCTCGCCCAAGCGAATGCTTGGTCGACCAACAGCATCTCATGGACGCGATCATGAAAGCCAAGTGCGAGCGTTCGAGCCTGACTCGAATCTTCCGCTGCTCCTGCTTCCTCCTCTTCCGGACCACAGACGCGTATCCGAGAACGTCCCAAGCAAATCGACACTCTCCCACATCCACAGCGCGAGCTCTCCGATTCTTCACCCGCTTCGATCCGCGCCCTACCCGCCAATTTCTCGATCCTACGTCGAATTCCCCAACCCACGACAGCGCAACCGTGTTCACTAAGGCAACTCGGCACGTAGCTGACATGCAGTCGACTCTAAGCACTCACTCTCAATCAGCAAGAAGCTCAAAACACAAACCCTTGGCACCGAAAGGTCAGATCGCTTCCCGGCCAATCGCTGAGTTCCCAAATACATGGTCTTCCAACATCACGCATCAAGCACGAAGCACCTGAGATTCAGCATAGCGGGTTCTGAGCACACCGTCGCCCCTGTACGCTCGCAGGCGATCAAGCTAGCGGCCATAGCCCGGTCTCGGTACAAGACGAGCAAACCCCTCACGCGCCTAATTGGATATCTCGAAGGAGAAACCGAATGATTTTCCTCTCGGGTTACACACTGCTACCGCCGATTTCTGCACTAGCTCAGTTTGGAATATATATATGTACATATTCAATAAGCGGTTAATGCTCTCTGTCGATAGGAATGAAGATTCGAGTGTTTACCCCAGTCCGTCACCGCGCTTGCGATAAACACCCCGTTACCCGATTGCATAATCTCCTATTTGTTTTGTAAGGAAGCTACATTGACCTCACAATTTGGTGCAGGCAGCCCCGAAACTCATGTATTGCACCAGAAATGCAGCCATATAACCTCATGGCGTGTCATATAGTATGGAAACAAGATATGCATGTTTTATTTTGAGACATACCATTTACTTTAGATTTATAGTGGATACTCTACTCGCTGATGTATCATTCTCCGGAAGCTGCTCTCCCAACAAAATCGGTGGGATTTACACAGAGCTTTCGGATATGCAGGCAGAATGGTAAGGTCAGATCCTGATTATAGTCCGAGCGCATCAATGAAGCAACCAAACATGGATGCACACAAACACTATATGTCTGTCGTTCACATCAAAGTACAAGGGGGAGAGTTTCACTCAAACTCAACAAATTAGCATGGCACATACATGGACGAGAGCAGGAGCTTCACAGATTTCCAATGACATGAATTTCCATTAGTGAACAGACTGATCATCTTGAGGGCACAAATGCTATATGTCCAGAATGTAAAGGACTTTACATTAGCAAATAATTTATCTATCCAGTATAACCTAGTCCTCCTGACAAGACAAGACAGGTATTAACCATACAAAGTCACTTTCTCTTTTACTCTAGTCTAGGAGGTCAACAGTTCTTCCAATGTAAATTGACGGTGTTTTGAAGGTAGAAATAAGAAACGAAAGGAGGCTAGTGTACAAGGAAAAAAATTGTACAATTCAATCAATCTGGAAAAGGAAGTAATTATATGGGAGAAACCGAGGGCTATGTCTAATAATGTAATAAATAGTTAGCTTTCATTGCATATATTATAGCTGATCAATCTATGTAATTATGATATATAAAATATCTATGAATAAAAATATTTAGATAAATCAATCATTTATAAAGTAATTATATATCATTTGTAATTTTACACATCCATGTTCACTTTGATATACACTGTATAAGCTACCAATAAATCTCCATCTAAGATATAAATTTATCATCGATACATGTTTGATGCATAATGTCATCTTGTGTGGGAAGGTGCTTTTCTTTATTCTTCGTTCTCATGTTGTTTTCAATTTAAATCGCAGTATAGCTGTGCCATATCAAATCCAGATTATCATGTTGGAAATAGTTAGTTTCGTTAGCTTGTTCAACCATGTAGTTTACCTAGTATGTTAAAGATAACATATGCGAAATCCATATGTTATCTTTTGAAGACCCAACTTGAGTCTAAATTTGAAACATAAGTGGTATCATATACATGCCTTACATATATACACCCATCAAAAAGAAAATCTATACATAAACTTCTTTTTTCTTGTTTGGATCTTCATTGTGTGAAATTCATTCCGAATCCATTAGACTTGCATCAAATAACTTTCCATGTAAAAATGGTGAGTGTAAATGAACAAAAATCAACTACAATCCTTTCCGATATTGCATGAATAGGTAAAGAAATAAGTGTTATAATTGATCTTTCTCAAATCATGTTTACAAGATACATCCAATCAGCTCTTACCAGAAAAAACTTCTTATCATCAACATTTTTCCATCTCATACATGACAATAAATCCAAGAAGAATGTAAGATGATTTTTTTAAATATATATACTAAGTACCAAATAAATATATAAATATTATTTTATTTGAAACAAATAAAATATTTTTTGCAAATATTATTAGATCAATAGTTTTTATTAAATTAAATTTTATTTTTAATTTTTTCAAGATGATTTTGAAATCCTTAGACTGAAATATATGTATATATATAGCATATCGCAAACATTGACATCAAAAGCTTAAATTTTGTATACATTATATACATATATCATATATATTGGTTTGTAATATAGAACACTGTGTTTATTTGATTTTTTTGAATCACAATTAAATGTTAGCCATACAATCTGGATTCAACAATCGCAGTATATTTTTTACTTCATAGAAAACGATGATATATTTACAGAAAAAATATCATACAAAATCCCTTTGAAATGTTAAGAATTTTTTATAATTATAATTACAGAAGTATGAAATATCTTTTTTCTCATTCTTATAAACAATACATGTTCACATACCATCAAAGTCTCAAAAACTGAAAGGCATATAAATCAATTTATTTACTTATGTATTAAAGCGCAAGCGCACCAAGAGCCGGAGCTCAAGTCGCGGCCACTATGTCTTACACCTGTCTTTTCCTTTGCTGACCCTCTGAATTTTAGATTCATTAGCAAAAATTATGTATACATAATAAAATATATTTTTCGATCAGATTAAGATGTCTATTAGCGATAAGGGACTCGTTGATCATAAAAAAAATATATATTCATGAAATTTATTTATATAACAAATTTAATAATTATTTAGGAAATAAACTTATACATATTAATTATCCATGTTTTAACAAGTAACTCATTAAGTTTATTTGCTCTTTAAAATTGTTTTAGTTATTAAAAATAGTTTTAATTTTAATTTTAATTTTTTTCTAATTTTTGATTACGTTTATTTTTGCATTGAAAAACCCTCCAATATGTGACATAGATTGATATGAAAAATAATTCATTAATTTATTGGATTGTGATTCACAACATTTTAAAACTCACAATAATTTATTAAAATTTACCATCAAGAGTTAGTATATTTACCATCATAAAAAATTCATATGGATAATATGTTTAAGCATAGAACAATATGATGACTTTGAGATAGATTTTGTTTTTCGTCTAATATATTGTAATATTACATAGAGCAAACATGTTTTTTAAGAAAATATTTCAAATAAGAGTTTTGTGTTTTGTTTTACATTAATCATATAAATTGTCTTGTGTTATGAAGTCAATAATGCTTGATTGAATGAGAGAAGACAAATATTCTTCAAATTTCTCTGTATTTTTCATCATCAAATGTTCATGTCTTTCATTTAAATGAGAAAGGTATAAAATTCTTGATCTAATGCTTTTCTTTGCTATTTGCTACACAGTTTTTATTTTCTCAGTTTCAGTTTGTTTACAATATTCTTTAATATAAACCTATTCGTGTGTCAAATATCAAATTATACATATTTATAATAGAGTATATATTTCATTGAGTTTTTATTTTTTTGTCGCGACGCAATAAATTTTCATTTGATGTCCATATACATTATTTCACATCTTTCATCAACATTGTATTTAAACATTTATAAATCTAGCTTATATTCAGCTTCAAGATGAAATTTATATCAACACATATCTTTTAGCTATTTGTACAATCTGTATACTTTTTGAAATTCGTGGGAATGAACCTTACTTATTTTTTGTATAAATTGGGAGTGAACATATTCAATATTCAATTTGTTTATTGCATAAGATTTATCAACGTTTGATACTTAATTTATTTTTCCTTATACAAATTTGATTAGAATATAAATTTCAGATATTTTTTCATTTCATACAATTGATTCATCAAATTATTTTCAAAAATTTACAAAAAGAAAAAAAACTGGAAAATAATAAGCATATGATTTATATTATCAAATTTAAAATTCATTTGGTTAGATAAAAAATATTTTGTTATTTCGTGCGGTGATTGAAATTCAAAGTTTATATTTAATTTGATTACTGCAAAATGATAATTTTTTTAATAACTAACTTATATTTACAATATGCTATAAACCCTTATAGTCTAATGATCGCATCAAATGATTATTTAAAATAAAAAAATTTTCATTTATATCAAGTTATTTGGGTATAATTTTATTATTATTTGAAATTATATTCGGAAAAATTTATTTATATGAATATTGTACATTACAAGAATGAAAATAATTGTGTTATTTATAATAGAATATGATCCAATTTGATGGTATTCTATTATTAATGATTATTTAACTATTACATATTTTTTAAAATTAATTTTTCAGATGTCAAAAATTTATTAAACTAGGTATCTGGTTAACTTTTCTTGATAAATAAGAAAAATAAAAATGTAGCATTTCACTTAAAATTAATGTTGATATACCAAAAAGTTATCTTAATTTGGTTATATGCAATTCACTAACATGACTTTTGAGAATCAAATATTAATCTTATTGTCTTCATTTAAAGATTTACAACTATTATAATAATATTAGAATATCGCATAATTTTGTAAAAAATAAATTAAATATTATAAATTTTAAATATTGCTACATTATCAAGATACGTGCTTCAAATTCAAGTCATGAACATCTTCAAAATTTTAAGTGGGTTTCAAATGGATATATAAAGATAAATAATGATCGAGGCTCGAAGGGAATCTACTCGACTTTAATTGATATTAATTGAATATGAAATAATATTTTTGATAATTTTATGTATCAATTTGATAAGAATGTTTTTTATGATTTCTGTTTGCAATATAAGTTACACATTTTCTGATACAAATCTAAGTTACGATCATTGACTAGGTATAAGTTGAGGAATCAGTTTTGTTATGATGCTTCTTGTAAAATTTTTTTGCAAATAATCTATTGGTAAAACTATTTTATTATCATAGTAATTTTTTATCAAATTTATTGCTTTTGAGTAGTAGAAAAAAAATTAGAATATTTGTAGCTATACAAATTCAATTTCCGAGCAAGAACTGAAATCCCTAAGAAGTTACACGTACCACCATGACCTATGTCTCACCTACGGTGACACGCTCTACCATACTACGCGCAATATGTAAATGGCAAAGAATAGTTACTCTCTCATCTCCTTTTCGGATAAACTGGAATATTCAAGGACTAAATTAAAGTAACATCACTATTTTCCAGTATTCCAATGAACCCGAACAAAATCCAATGCTGTCGGTAAGCTTGCTCCTCAACGAACTCCTGTGCCAACCCCCGCAGACTTTGCCCACCAGCATCATCATGTGGCCTTCCTTTTCACGAAATCCTGCGGAGTTCCCAGATGAACGCATTTCGTGCGTAAATGTCAAGCGGACGTAAGACACAAAACTGAGAATACCCACGTCCAGAAACAGAAGATGGAGATGAGGATTTGTACACCGATGTATCCAGGTCTCGACCAAAGTACAGCCAAAACGAGGGCGAGTGCTGGGTCGAGCATAGATTACGAACCGGGTGTCGACAACGTTGGAGTCGCACGTCCAACAGTTTTGGCAGCCGGACAAGAAATAATCATTTGTTTGGTGGTATTGTGCTTGGGATGCGAAAGACGGGAGAAAGCGAGGTGTACAGCCTTCCTTCGATCCCGATCGACTGCCAGAGCCGGCGATCTACGATCCCAATGGCGAACGCTACATCCGGGTGGGAGACACGAGGGCTTGTCTCGGGCGTCGTCTCTGGCCCCATGTCGATCCCTTGCCTTGCCTGACTCGCTCCCTGGCTTCGACAGGAAGGCTTTTCTTTTTCTTCGGAGCACGGGCTTTCTTTCCGGATAAACTGACAGTAGAATGCCAATTCACATGGTCTGTTTCGATTGAGACGACAGGACCCGTTCGATCCGCGATCGGACGGATCACGGATGAAGCAGGATTCACATGCCTCGAGAATATCCAGGCCATATATCCAAGGCCATATATTATATAACATTTTAGCTCTGGTCGCCTCCATCCATTGCCTCACGACGAAAGGCACTCCCCCATTGATCGTCAGTGAGGCACAGTGAGGACAAGAGGGTTCAGGCCTCATGTTTGTTGTAGTAAAAGGGAGTTGTACTATAACAACTATCATATCCACACTATTTACCTTAACATATACAACAACATCAGATCGTTATCGTATGAATGGATTCCAATCGCTTGTGTTTTTCTCATAAAAAATTATTGCTCACAAATGCTTTGTGAAAAACTTTCATTGAAATAAGTTTGATCGTTTTTCTCATTTGATATTATAGATTGATTTGCACCATTTCATTAGAGTCCTAGTTGTCAAAAGTTCTACACACGATTACCTGCAGAGCTACATATATTGATATTTTGATTTTCGTCACTTCTTGACGGGAAATGAAGCAAGCAATCTATATTCGAAATATATTCACATGATTCCCAACAAGGACATGATACTCTTGAATTAAACTCTTGAAAATTAGATCAGAGATCCGTGACTCGAACCTCTTTGTATAAGGTTTTAATCAAAACAAAGCTATTTTCTTCGCTAAAACTTCATAACGATTCTTATCCAACAATCTTACCCTAAAAAATTAAAATACAAATTTGTTTCACAATGGAGCTATTCATATTCACAAAATAAATGCTTGAAGGTAAAATATGCCATTAAATTGGTTAAACATTATAACATATATCTTTCTTCTATCTCACATTATAAACATCATCAGTCATCTTGAAATAAACATTTCATCAACCAACGTAAAAGATCAAAATTTTATATAAATATTTCATCCATCTAACATGTCATATCCTTTCAGTTTTCATTGAACTAAAAAATAAAATTCGAATTTTTTTCAAACTCCAATCATGTACAGTTATGTCTCATTTAGTTCTACACATCACATGTATGCATGACATGATGAACCTTATGAATTTATGTTTTCAAAAAGTAAAAATTCAACTTACAATATCCTCTAATGCTGATGTTGAAAGTTGATGCTATTTCATCCCACATAATACATACAAGCATGGGAATGAGTGCAATTCATGGAATTCTTATATCTCTCTCATGGAAACTAGTACTGGTAGAAAAATACTTGGCCAAGCCATATTTCAACAAGATTTACATCAATTTATACACAAGTGGAAAGACATCACTGATCCTAATTGGTTATGCTTCAATCAGCTCATTGTTTTTTTAAGTCTCGTCATAATTAGCAAGAACATATTTTGTATCGGCAATTCTATGAAGCATAGAGTCAAAATCGAAGCGTTGGTTCAGACATTTGAAAAGAAAAAAAACCATCACTCTTGGTGACAAACAAAAGTGATGAAATCATCACTTAAATTTTCATCACAAAAGAATTCATGGTAGATATATCAATCTCATCGAATGTTAGTTGAGTCGAATTGTATATTTGGCATTGAAGGCCTACAAACCAAAAGTGGACATGGTCCAACAAGAGTACGGTAACCTTGATCAACCTCCTCGTATACACCACTGACATCCCGCAAGACGGTGCTCAAGATGCAGTGACGACGAGGGAGAGATTCGCCACACAACAAATCCTTTGGAGATGGTAAAAGTGTGCGAATGTCGATCGAGAAATGAAATCGAACAAGTGTTTGCGGGCCAAGGGCACAGCCTCAGGGCGAGAATGAGACCGAGCAGGCGAGAGAATGAGATGACAATCGTGGGTAGCTGATAATGCGAGGAGGACTTGTACCATATCCGAGCGGCACAAAGTATGTACGCTTGTTCCGATCCACAAAGATGAAAAGCATAAAGAAGAAGAAGGAAGAAGGAGAAGGGAGAAGGAGAAGGAACCGAGCAGGCAGGCAGGAGCGAGTTACAGCAGCAATTTCGTCGTGAGCGGGCGGCTGGAGGAGCGAGCATCTTCGGCTCAGTGGACGGCAAAGGACGCGTCACTCGTCGTCCACCTGGTACACCATACGAAGCAGCACACACTGTTGGCGTCGCCACCCAACACCCAAATCAAATACTTCTCGCTCGCTGGCTCGCCTATGGCTTTCAGCTATATTGTTTAATTGCGCGCAATAGTCGATCGTATTAGCTGGCAGCTTGGCCAGCCACGGGCTCGGTGACTCCGGGCCTGCTGATCTAGCTTCCCAAAGCACAACTGTGAGTCACGGGCTCGGGTGGGCGAGACTATTTGTACCCAGTGGGTTCATGCTTTATTACCCAGTAATAAAGAAATTTCCCAGCTCCGCCAAAAGCAGACGAGCTCCCTCCCTTCCTCCTCCTCCTCCTTCGTGTCTCTCTCTCTCTCTCTCTCTCTCTCTCATCATTCCTCCTCTCTCCTCTCTCCTCCTCTCTCCTCGTCCTCCTCCTGCCTGCCCGGCTGCCGGTTTGCGCTGAGGGGGCTCTCTTCATCGGCCCAGGCCTTCTCTTCTCTTCTCTTCTCATCTGGGCACTTGGCCGCTGTTCGTTGCATTGTTGAGTTGTGCTGCGAGGCGATGAGAGCTTGTACAAGGCTCGGCCGCAGTCCATGCGCTTACGTCTCAGCTCGGGCTTGTGTCCGCGAGAAGTCGGTGCTCGCTTTTGTGGGCTCTGCTGAGTGAGAGATTGGCACGCCTGTGGGCCACGTAAAAAGCCAGACGATGCAGGTGGCATGCTGATGTGTGCTGCGAGAGCCGAGTCGCAGATGGAAACTCTTCTCTGAGGGTGGTTAGATGGGCAGAGTTGGGAAAGTGAGATTTGGTGTCAGCTTGCACTCCCGATTGGCGGGCTCCCCGCCTCTCGATCGGTAGTTTTCCTAGGCTCCTTTCTCCTGTCCCTTCCTCAAATTTCGAGCTTTTGCGTTCTCGCTTGCGCTGACTGAGAAGAATTGCGTGCTGATCGATTCCTCCGCCGTGAATTGTTTTTGCCTCCTCCGCAGCAGGTCCATCGATGAATCGGACCCTCTTGGCCCCGACGTAGGTCACGAAGTGTGAGGTTGAGGATTTTTGACGGCGCTGCGCCTGTCAGCTTTGCGAATTGAACCGAGCGAGCTGGCGGAGGATTTGTGATGAGAGAGGTTGGGGTTGAAAGCCATCTTCCAGCGTCTGATCTAGGATACTCGTTCGGCCACTCTGTCACGCACAAACTCTGCCAGGAATGGCTTCTGCAGATAGAATTAGATTTGACCAACAGTAGGATAACCTACGGAGCTGTGAAATGGGCCATCTCCGAACTGCAGCGCATGGAGGACAATGATTGGTATTCGGGCGATGACTCGGTAGACAGAGGGTCGAGTTCGAGTAGAAGTGACGATGTGGGGGAGTGGAACAGCGGCTCGAGTAGATTACCGTCCGACTCGGTGAATGCAGGCTGGGGACGGGACCAATTTTCAGCGGAAAATGGAGTAGAAGGCGCGAGAATAGACTTGGTGGATTGGAGGAATCTGTTGATTGCGGCAGGGGGGTGCAGGGAAGAGCCGGACCACGGAGACCTGAACAATGAGGGAGACAGGAGAGCCAGAGTGACCAAGTTTTCATTCTCGAGCGCGCTGAAGGAGGCATTGATTGCAGCGGAAGGAGGCAAGGCAGGAGGCAGAATGGCCGAGCGCATCAACTCGAGATTCGAGCTGCCCGAGTGCGTCTTCCTTACCAAACTCGTCAGCCAATGCTTGCTCGTTAGCCTGGACCAGACGCCGTCCAGTGACACTTGTGCAGCTCTGACCTCCGCGCGAAACGAGGAACCGAACGCGGACTGGATGTGGCTGCACAGATGGTTCGTCAGGACTCTGATTCCGGGCGCAGGAAGCGACTCGTGCTACGATGCGCTCGACTGGTTGGTCGCCCACATGACCGCTTCTCGGGGAACCATCACCAAGCTCGTTCTCGATGACCTCCTGGCGGACTTGTCGAATTTCAACGAAGGTGATGAGCAGCCGCGTGTGGCAACTTACATCCGTCGGACTGGTGTTTTGGAGTACGCCGCTCTTAGGTGGGATTAACTTTGCCGTCCCACATTTGGTAGAGATGAAGCCCCTTCTCGAGTGTCGCCTTGGGATGTTAGCTTCCAGGTGTATGGCTTTTCGGTGATTGAGGTGTCGGATCCTCTCTCTCTTTCTCGCTCTCACTCTCTCCGCCTCTTTTTCAGCTTTACTTTACCGGTATACAACATCTGAAGCCTTTCGGGTTGAACCTGAGAGGGAAAATAAATATGCTCACTCAGTTCACATCCCTTGCTGAGTCCAAAGGATGTCCATCTCACTCTTTTCTCCGCTGGCGCGCGTTTCCAGCTGTATGGAAAATTTGCGCTTTGAATCTCTCGCTAACAGCATGTCGAGAATTTCACCCTTGCGTTCCATAGATCAGGACATGCTTGCTGCCGCCGTCTGCCGCGGAAGATGAATAGAGCTGTGCGCTTGCTTTGTGTCTTTCCCACATCTTGTCGTCGTCCTCGTCTTTGTAGCTGCAGCAGACCGGTTGTTTCCGCACACTCTTGGCTGGGATAGTGCATTTTCTGTAGTAGTACCAATTTGCCGTGTCATAGACCGTAGTGTGGATTTCCGAATGTGTAGAGAAAGTGGCCGTGGAGCAATGAGCCAGCCCCCCCTTGGCGGAGCACAAGGCAGCAAAGAAATCAAACTCAAACCCCCAGAACTCACGAAGAAGCCCCCTTATCTCTATCTCTGCCGTCCTCTCGAGCTTCAGCCATATCTTCTTCCACACTCCACACTAGGTCGGCCATCGATACAGTAGTAGCGTCTTGAATAGAGGACGAGCCTAAGCATGTACAGCGAGAGACGAAGTGTATCCGCTGGGCTCTCTGTAGAGCGTTGCCTACGTCTGTCATCAGGTTGACTCTTGTGAGAGTGCACTGCTAGAATGCTCGCCCGCTGATGAGATGTGTTAGAGGGAGTGTTTTCGTCGTGCCGCCAGTGTTGTCGGTGGGTGCCTGGGGTTCGTTTGCGTGAGTATGCGACCGAGAGGCAGAGTCGCTGAGTTCGGTGCTTCATTTAATTTGAAACTTCAGCAATTTCTCCCCCCGATCAAATGGCTGGCTGTTTGATTGCTGATTTTGAGAGTTCGGTTGTGGTCTGCGGCAGAAATCCCGACAAGAAATTATGAGAACCTTTCGTCATCTGTGTCTCCATGGTGTTCGCAGCATCTTCACCTAAAGAATGGGAAGGCTGCCGCGTTCTGTCTCGGTGGAAGGAGGAGTCTTTGACCTCCTGTCTTCCCGGATTGATTGGTGCCCTTGCTCATCTCTGGATCTCTTTTTTTTATGGAAGACATGGAGCTTTTAGTCGGGGGCTAGACTGAATTTCTACCGTCGTTCAGGATTATACTTGCGCGCAAGGTGAGTCCTTTTAGAACTGACGATCTACATATCTACTTTATCGCCTTGATTTTCTAGCCTGGTACGTGTTGAAGTGATCACGTGGAACGCAGTATGGAAGCTAGATTGTCACGACGTATGTGTGGTTGTTACACTTCGTTTATTATAAATGTGTGTTCTTACTTCGATTTACCCGTCTTCAGAACTTCGCCTTGAAAGTTTTGGAACGCGCTGTCATGCTTGTTTCTCGCGCGAAAAGCAGTCTTTGTAGGTAAGACGAAAGAAAAGTGCAGACATTGTTAATTCCTTATTTCCGCTGAACGACTTTTGCGAAAAGCGTAAAGGTGAGATTCTGTTGTTCATTGTAGAGATTTGTGCAGCCGCTGGATGGATGATGCCTTTGGTGCCTCTCGCTAGCAGTTTTCTGTATCTACCTGTGAGGTGCCTACGACGGTGCAGGGGAGCGACTCAAGTCGCTCCGCATTGCCCGACTGGGAGCGCCATCTCTGCCTGCCTGTTGCATCTTTCACATTTCATGCAATTGACCATAATGACCATATCACCGCGGGCGTTGTGGCAGGAACGGAGATGAGGATGTACGTCTTGATGTTGTCTTAAAGCGCAACGTGCACCTCTGAAACCGAAAGCTTGGGGGGCATTTATTTTCCACCTTCTGGGCTTGGGCCTTGACCAAACGCGGTTTGTAAATCTCTACATGGCGAGGCCTCCGCTCGTCGCAAGATGTATAGAGAGGGAGCAATTGTTACTATATTGAACAAGGCGTGGCACGGGTAGAAGAATAATCCGAGTACGTACGTCACCCGTAGTGCTAGTTTTCTCTTGTTTCCGAGCAGAGCGCGCAATTTGCTTGGCGATTTGTCGTAGCGAGTACAGTTTTGCTGTGTAGATTGTTCCATTATTTCCACCAATAATAAACAAATCCGATTTTGACAGTGCCTGAATCGATTCTGTCCGAAAAATGATCAGAGAGAGAGAGAGAGAGAGTGAGTGAGTGCAGCACTGCAGCAGCGTGGCTTGTGCATCCGATCGTCGAGAAAAGACCTGACTTTTAAAAGGGGGCCAAACGCTTTCCATCGGCCATGACGCGCCATGGATCAAGACGACCGGAGTGAATCAAAAGTGCTTCGCGGAGCGAGCATCCCATGCTCGCTTCCCTCGTCGACGAGCGTCCATCGGGACCAAGAGCGTAGGTGTGCTCGCCCCGGCATCACTGGTCGTCACCGAGATGCGACCTATTCTAGGACGGAGGTATGGAGGGAAACAGGCGTGACTTGGACGAGCGTCAGCGCGTCTGGGCCGACTCCTGACCCGGATACTTTTCCAGCATACACGACCTACTCCTGACGCTTGGCAGGCGCGTCACACCGAGGCTCGCAATTCTCGACCGCAGGACGATCTCGCGAGCCTTGACAAGTCTCGAACCACCAGGCATTTCAGAAAATATAACACAAAAAATCTGATGTACCGCTGCTGACAACACAGTAGGTTGTGCAGATCTCATCGAGCATGAATGCGTCTTTCCGGACGAAACAAAACCCTCAGACAGGTCAACATTATGGCCACAACTTTCCGCGCGCTACAAGAATCCGCGCTGTAGAACCATCCCCATCCGGATGCTGCGAGCGGTGTACAGGCAGGCCATGCTCGAGGGATCCCTCCGAGCGAGCGACTGACTTCGCCGAGCAGCGCAACGCGCACGAGCACGAGCACGAGTCTCGCCTCGGCGCACAGCTGGTGCAAGGCCCCGAGCTTGTGCCTTCTTCTCGGTTTCCCGTTGCTGTCACCGCTGCAGCGCAGGGCGAGGCTCTGCGGTGGCCGTAGTCGTCTCGAGACATCATGAGTGGAAGAACCCCAATGTATGCATCCTCTCCGATCGAAGTACACTTGTCGATCCAGCCTCCACTGGCGACGGAGAAATACGCTGCGCGGAACGCACTCCGGAGGTGATGCTGCTGCACGTAGGCCTGCAGCCATTGCTGGATGATGATCGCCCACGCCTGCGCCTACAATCCTCTACCGTGCTAGCAAGCGCGCATTCGTTCAATTTTGTTCTTCGACTGCGCAATCCCGTCCCGAGGTTTTTCTCCACTGCACGACAGCGCGCGTATTCAAACCCGTCGAGCTGTACTTCACGAGGTCTGCTCGCTCTCAATTTCGGGTCTCCACGTTTTCTGATTTCTGATTTCGGGTTTTCACGTTTTCATGACTCTCCAAACTTGCTTGAGAGGTGCTACTCTACCTCTCTATTTATACTACTTGAGAAGTTACCATAGTAACATGTGGTAATTTCTCCTAACTTACTTTTACCTAGGTAAGTTTGACTAACCTTCTCTACGTGGCAACATGCCATTGGCCTACCTAAACCTTCTAGAAGCTTCCGGAATCCAAGGTTGAGGTGGCGACATGCCATTGGAAGCTTTTAAACTTCTACAAGCTTCCTAGCCACTAAGTCAACATTAGACTTAGTCTAGCCAATCATCTTTCATACATTTAGTCAAACCAATCAAATCCAAGCTTCTAGTCAAATATCTAATCCCTTGGAATCTAGAACTTTTGTATAAGACAAAATAGAAGTGCTCACTCCTTGTAAAAGACAAAATAGAAGTGCTCACTCCATTCTTCTAGAACTCCGCTAATTACTCCGCCAACTATAGACATTGTAGCTAAACTTAGTCATGACTAGATAAACTTAGTTATAACTAACTAGTTTAGTCATAACTAGCTAGTCTTAGCTATGCCTTGGCTAATCATCCTTATTCCCTTGACCACTTCTAAGACTTAGTACATATGTGCAACACCCGGTCTTACATTTACCCCCGGACCAAGATTTCACTACGCCCTCGGAGTGAAAGAATCTGATCTTCGATGGAATAACTTCAACTTGTCGTGGTTGACTCGATCGAAGTGACGTCCTCCTAACTCCTTGATGTCATAAGTGAAATTTCCCCACACCTTCTCAACTATGAAAGGTCCAAAATACTTAGGAAGAAACTTTTTCCTAGCTCTCTTGTATCTAATTGCATCAAAGAGCATCACCCAATCACCTTCCTTGAACGGCTTCAAGTTCTGGTTTCCACTTCGTTTGTCGTGATACTTCTTCTGCAACTGTTGAGCCCGCTCCACTCGTACCATGGCTAATGCTCGAGCTTCCTCCAACTCCATCAATTGTTGTTGGCGAGACTTGATGGCTTCTGCTCCATTTGATTTCTTCAACCTTTGCTGGATTGTTGTGAATGTTGTCAAGTCAAACTGTATGGGAAGTTTTGACTCAACTCCATACACCATCCGAAAAGGTGAGTATCCGGTAGATGTCTTCCATGTTGTGCGATACTCCCATAAGATAGCATGGAGCCTCTTGTCCCAATTGTGTTTACTCCCGTCCATGTCTGCATCCTTGGCCAACATCATACACAAAGTGTAGTTGGTCCGCTCCGCCAACCCGTTAGCGTTAGGTTTGTAGGAAGTGGTTACTCGAGCCTTGATGGAAAAGTGCTCCAACATGGCTTGAATCATAATTCCCACAAATTCTCCTCCTCTATCTGATACTAACTCCAATGGACAACCAAATCGAGTAATGATTCTCTCATATAAAAATCTACCAACCTCCTTCTCATTAGTAGATTTAAGTGGTCTTGCCTCTACCCACTTCGTAAGATAATCTGTAGCTATCACAATGAACTTATTCCCTCGAGGAGTAAGATTCAAAGGACCTACAAAATCTATTCCCCACTTTTCAAAAGGACCTAACACTGGTACAGAAATCATAGGAGGGGTTTTCATGGACTTTTTAGCAAAAGCTTGACACACATCACAACTTTTGCAATATTCCACACAATCCTTAAAAATACCCTTCCAATGATAACCAGCATCAAGAATTTTGAAGGCAGTTACCTTCCCCGCAAAATGTCCTCCACATACTGCACCATCATGAAACTCCTTCATGAGTTGTAGTGCCTCTCCTCTCCCAACCGCCCTTCGTAGAAGTCCGTCAGCTCCTTGATGAAAAAGTACCTTCTCCATGATCATATAAGGTTGACATCTCTTCACTAATGCATTTTTCTCCCTTTGATGCATTCCTTGAGGAAACTCTCCTCTAGAGATGAAATCCCAAATTTCCTTGTACTCCTCCGGTACTGTTGTCACCGTGTCCATGACTAGCAAGTCCTCATCCGGAAAGGTGTCATCTACTGACTGATCTCCTCCATCATCATATGCTCTCGACATCAAATCCGCATTAGCAAGCTTCTTTCCAGGTCTATCCTCAATGGTATAATCAAACTCTGCTAGTAGTAGCTTCCATCTAGCTATCCTCCCTTCAGCATTAGGCTTGTTGAAAATGTATTTCAAAGCCTTATGATCAGTCACTATAGTGAATCTCCCACCCAACAAATAATGTCGAAACTTCTTAAGTGAGAAGATTACAGCTAAGGCCTCTCTCTCTGTCACTGAGTAATTCTTCTCCGCTTGAACCATTTGTCTACTAGCATAGGCAATTGGATGATCATGCTTTTCATCATCTAATTGACTTAAGGTGCATCCTACAGCAATATTTGATGCATCTGTGTAGAGAATGAAAGGTTTACCCCAATCCGGTTTCGCCAAAATTGGAGCCGTCACCAACGCCTTCTTGAGAACTTCGAACGCCTTCTTTGCAGCTTCATCCTTGAAAATGAGTTCGTACTCCACTCCCTTCTTCATGTAATTCGTCAAGGCATGAGCTTTGTTGGAGAAGGACAAGATGAACCGTCGATAGTACCCCACCATACCAAGGAATTGCCTCAACTTGGTTAAAGTCGCCGGAAAAGGTAACTCCATGATCCGTGTCACCTTCTCTGGGTCCACCGCTATACCATTCTTGGAGATGATATGCCCCAACAATAGGCCTTCCTCACATCCAAAAATGCATTTTTCTGGATTGAGTGAAGCCTTAGCTTCCTCCAGCCGTTGAAGTATTTTGATCAAATGATCAAAATGATCCGCTTTCCTCCCGTAAACACAAAAATCATCTATGAAATCCCTTACAAACTTTCCAATGAAAGGTTCAAACACTCTATTCATGAACCTTTGAAAAGTGGCAGGAGCATTACATAGACCAAACGGCATCACTCTAAAAGCGAAGGTTCCCCATGGAGTGGTAAAAGTTGTTTTGAGTTGGTCTTCTAAGGCAATTTGGATTTGGTTATAGCCACTATAACCATCTCCAAAACTATACCACTCATGACCAGCAACCTCCTCTAGAATCTCATCTATGAAAGGCAAGGGATAGTAGTCTTTCTTTGTGACAGCATTCAACTTTTTGTAATCTACGCACACTCGTAGCTTACCATTCTTCTTCTTCACTATCACAATTGGAGACACCCATTCAGAATTTTCTACCTCGTAGATGAAGCCAGCCTCCTTGAGCTTGTCGATCTCCTCCTTCACCACAAGAGCCGTAGGTGGATTTATTCGGCGTTGCTTTTGCCGAATAGGACGAGCTTTCTCCTCCAACTCGATGCGATGAGTCTCCAACGTCACATGCTTAAGATCCTTGTAACTAAAGGCAAAAACATGAATATATTTGCGAAATATATCCAGAAACTTTGCCTTTTCCTCCTTGGTAACCTTGGGACCAAACCTGAGAGTGGACAGTCGTCGACACACCTCCTCTTCGCTCATCTCCACTTTGTCAGGATCTTTCTTCACTCCAGGCCTAGGCAACAACTCCATGGCAGCAATGACTTGTACTTGAACATTATCATCAGAAGAGTACTCTGATGATGTTTCTTGATCAGAAGTTGAGATGTCTGTGTCAACTTCTGAAAAGCTACCACTCTCTTCACTCTCAGATTCCCAATACTCGTCAGTTGGTCTATCTGAGTCAGTGGTGGATTCCCCTCCTCTCGTCAAAGGAACCTTAACTCGATGGTTCTTTGGGCCTATCCTCAAATA